ACACACGCGCGCGCGCACACACGAAGATACACGCTCACACTGTGACGGATAGGCGAGTGTCGTCTATGAGGTAGAAAACAAAGCACAGAAAAATGTATGTTTTAGCTCACCTTGTTGGGATCGAACTCTGAACCCCTCTCAATGGGCCCATCCCATAGTGTGACCAGGTATTACGTCCACTGACCAGCCCATTGTGTATCGTGTTGACCAGCGTCCAGTGACCGGGTCAGTTCCAAAACCAGCCAACTCTCATGCTTGTGTGTCACTGTGTTGTCCACGACCTCTTGTTTTTTCTACGATCGATATTTTGTTCTCCTCGGGACGTCTTTGTTTTGTCCACGACATTTTGTTCTCTACGAAACGACATTTTGTTCTCTACGGCACGTCCTTGTTTTGTCCTCGACATTTTGTTCTTTTCGACACAACAGTTTGTTTTCTACGACATGTCCTTGTGTAGTCCCAACCACATTTTGTTCTCTACGACACGTCTTTATGTTGTTCACGACATTTTATTCTCTACGACACGTCATTGTGTTGTTCACGACATTTTGTCCTCCTCGACACGTCCTTGTTTTGTCCACGACATTTTGTTCTCTATGACACGTCATTTTTTTGTCCACGACAGTTTGTTCTCTACGATACGTCTTCATGTTTTCTGCGACATTTGGTTCTCTAAGACATGTTCTTCCCACTTTGTGTTTAACACTGTGTATTGTTGGCTGCTTGGTTTGGTGGATAGTAATTAACAGCAAGTTTTGTTTGTGGGTTTTTTAAAGTTTTTTTTTTTTTAATTAAAGTTTACTTTGCTTTTTGTCTGTGTTTTGTATCGTTGGAAAAATGTTGTGTAGCCTATTTTCCTTTTTTGCGTTTTTTTCCCCTGTGTTTTGTATCGTTGTAAATGATTGTTCGAGTTGTTTTGTTTATTTGTATCGTTGTTTTTGTTGGGTGGTTGTTTTTTTTAAAATAGTGAATAGTGTACGTGTGTGTGTGTGTGTGTGTGTG